TATTTATAATTTGGTATTACCATTTATATTTTTCTTGTTGTTATTATTTTGTGATGTGTGAGCTACTGTGTCCAAGTAATTTGCCTGGATCAATAAAGTTTGTCTAATGCTAAGTCTTGGGTATTTGTTAATAATAGTGAGATTCAAAACAAATAATACCATTCCCTAACACATGGGTTGATATGAAAGATTTTGCAGGGTTGTAAATTGTGAAACAAATGTCCGTGTTCTGGAGTACGTGTGAAATGATGGTCTAATATTGGAATGTGAAAGCACAGTGCAATCGGTCACAGTTTGCTCATTATTCATCAATTTAAAAGCTATTATACGCAAAAGGACTCAATAGGCCACTGTAATTTCTAATCTTATATAATTCTATATTTCTGATATGGCCCAAATAAATATACAAAACATTTAGGGTGGATTTCACTGTAAAACCTACATCAAATAGATTACTGGTGCTATTAATACTACAATTACTAGCACTGAATGTCTAACCCTATGGCATACTATAGCCTACTGTAATTGTTGCTGCTGCTACTACCATACCATACCAGCTTTATTTATAAAGCACTTTAAAAACTTTACAGTATGCCAAAGTGCTACTTAATTCCTAGTACTACACCCTAGAAAGACAACAATAATAGCTGTAGTAATAGTAAAAGTATTGGTTGTAGCCGTACTTCTTGCCTATTCCACATGTCATCCACACTATTGCCTCTACTACTTCTACTATAGTACTAACAATGGCTCTGTTATTTTGATTATTAGTTCTAGTTGTAGTTCAAGTAGTAGGAGAAGTAACTTAAAATGTAAAAAGCTAAAATACGTTGGAGTAGCAGAAGGAAGTATTGTTTTTGATGAGATATCAAAGTAGCCGTAAAAGTATAGGTAGTAAGTAGGGGTGTAATGATATCCAAGTCTCACGATATGATTTCATCACAGTATGAATCTCGTGGTATGATATTTATTGTGATATTGTGGGAAAACTCACAATATGGTGGGGAGGCTCATGATTAGAGATGTAACGGTAAGATATTTATTGCGATATTTTGTGGAGGTTAACAAAACTGTGAATAATCCGAAGAACTAAGACTTAAAAGTGCTTAGAACTATGATTTCTTCTTGTCATCTGCACTGAAATGGAGCAAAGGATCATGGTCTATGTAGTTCCCTCTGTGTTTTTTTTTTAGCTATTGCTGCAACAAAACTCTTAATTTAAGCAAAGAGACTTGTAATTGGATATATTGTAATGGTCCATGATATTATTGTGAGAACTTTGACAATATGATATCACGATATTTCGTTATTGTTACATCCCTAGTAGTAAGTGTTATTACAATCATTTTTTACTTGTACAATTTCTTCTATTACTGCAGCTATTATTGTACTCTACTATTCTTGTACTATTCTTCTTTGTGTATACTGTTGCAACTGTAAACTATAATTGGAGGTCAATTAAATACAATCAATCAATTAAAATACTGTCCCGCTTTAATTGTATACTTTTAACTTTATGTTTTAATAGTATTTAACTTGTTTATGTTGTTGTAAGGCGACCTTGAGTGTCCAGAAAGGCGCCTAATAAATAAAATGTATTATTATTATTAAACCCTTCATTTTAAATTCAGCTGCTATCAAGTACAATCACAATTACTTCTACTCTACTAATTATAAATTTGGATTAATCACTTGAGGATTAGCATTTAGGATCATAAACTAGGGCTGAACTATTTGGGGAAAGTATTTCATTTAACAAGTTCTGACAATTATTTTAATAATAGTTCCATGTACACATTTTAAACATGTCCAGATGAAATGACAAAAAAAACAAAATATGAACTGACAAGAATCAGATTTCAGAACAACAGGGTTATCCTTTTTTATGCAGAATAATACAGGATATTTTGTTTGTGGAGGAAATTGTAGTCATTCAAAAATGGTAGCCTGTGTGATTTGCTAATTTCATCCATTCAAATAGTGATTCAGATTTGATTGCTAATTTTGTAGCCCCATCACACTGAAACACGTCATTTATTTACGTTTGGTGGAGATGTGTCCATATTTAACCAACACTCTCCACTGTTACGTAATCTCAGCGTATTCTCCATTGCATTTAATCCCCGGCAGCAACTTAATCCCGCGGCTAAGCAAACAGTGCTCCTCGATCTCTCCCTCTCCATATGCAGGGGGCACATGAGCGAGCAGTTAGAGGTGAGGAGAGACAAAGAGAGAAAGAAAGAGAGAGACAGCGGCTTATCCAAATATTCAGATAACAGGGGTCAATGAAGAGGGCCAGATCAAGAACAGTTATGCTGTTACGTCTTTTTGAAAGTTAGAGAAGTTATGGTTCATTAAAGTGAGGGTATTATGCAAAATTGACTTTTTTGAGCTTTCTACCATGATACGACATTGGTCCCTCATCAAAAAACATGCCTGAAGTGGTTTTACATGTTTGAGTAATCTTGCAATCTCTCCTGAACTCTTCGAACACTCCTTAAGGCTGTAAGATTCTGTGCAACGCTCAGCCCATAAGCTTTTGGTCTATAGCAATTACAAATCATAAACGGTAACATTGTAATCTAAATATGTTACTAAATGTGTTACCATACCCTATAGATTCACTGTGTAACTTTTCTGGTTATGTTACTGCTTTACCCGGAATGTTCCACAGTATGGTATTAAACTTTAAGTAAAATAGCACACCAACAGTGGACACTTTCCACTGAAAATAACTTTTAAAGACTTGTATTTTCCTTTTGTTGACTTTATGTTTTTGGAATTGGACAATAAAACAAAACTACCCAACTGTCAAGAGGAATTGCGAAGATGTTAACCTCCAGGAAAAGCTGGTGATCCTAAGTCACACCACTTTGACCCTTAAACAGCTGAAGCCTGGCAGGAACCCAGGATGTTGCGTAAGGGCCCAGGATCTCTCTCCACCTCCACCATACGGACTCTAATCTGCCTCTCCTTCCACTGTACAAACCCTGACAGACTGCGGACACATGCAGGAGAGAGGGCAGAGAAAACGAGTAGAGGGTCAGAGGGATGTCACTGTGGAATTAGCTTTGAATGTGCAGCCAGTTTGATTTGAAAATGATATAATGCTTGTTTAGTACGAATTAAGGCTGCACAAATATCACATTCAAAATTTCAGTTTTATTTCTTTTTTAATGGAACTTACAGGAGGTGAGCTTGAACAAAGGCCAGATGAGGACAGGGGGGAGGGTTTCACATCTGCCATCTCGCCCAGTACAGATATAATGTATGAGCAGCTCCTGAGGTCAAAATAAGTCTGCTCCATGCTCTCTGAATCTTCTTACAAAGCATTTTATTGTCCGATAATCAGGAAATGCACATTATTATCTTAGTTGCTGTTAGTGTTGCTGTCACAGCAAAATTCTGCACTGGTCTGAGAGTTAAGAAAAGCCATAAAGTCATCAAGGTGAATAATTAGTATGCTAGGAATGTATAAGGTAAGTGAGGAGTAACTTTGGATGACTTCGAACTGTTTAAAATCAATAGTTCTTTCTTCAGTTTTGTAAGGCAGGAAAATTTAGTTACAGCGCCTTTAAATATTAGTAGCAAACACTTATAGTAAGAGAGTGGAGATCTGTCTCTCTGTGTACGTCTAGTCTCTGTGTACGTCTCGTGTGCTGCTATTACACATTTAGTGGCACTTTATTGTACTTATACTGAGTGATTCCAATGACCAGAGTATTTACAATTTAACCAGAAGAGCCTCATGATTTTTGAAACGTGCCCTGGGCAAGACACACTCGTACATTTTATAAGCATTATGATTCAAATAAATACAATAATATTTGACACCTGTCTCTTGCGATCTTTTTTGCTACTTATTTAAAATGTATTATTACCGTTCATTTTTTTTTGCTCTTTGTTATTATATTATATTGTGATGTGTGAGCTACTGTGTCCAAATAATTTCCCTAGTGGATCAATAAAGTCTAAGTCTAATAAAAACAAAACTATTTATGCGATTAATCACAGGTGAAATGGAAATGCAGTTTGAATGGACACAATCTGGACCAAATCATAAAGGCTACAATTTTTTAAGTACCATCATTTCCTCCACAAACAACCAGTGGCGGAGTTAGCAATTTGGCAAACTTGAGTTTGGGGCCTTTACTATAATGCACAGTTTTGTTTTTTGTTTTTTGTTTTGTTTTGTTTGTTTTAATAAATATATATTTATTGTCTGTTTTCCCCACTGTTCTTGAGACATGCACATCTCTATTTATGTGAATTATGGTGGATTGGAAACTTGTCTTATTAGTTCGGTATCTTACTAGATAACCAGAACTAAAAGTAGTTTTATTTTTTTGTTAGTACAATTATATTTTTGTTTACAACCATTACATATGATTGTTATTATTTTTCTTATGATTATTGTTTAAAAGTAAACTACTCTCATTTAATGTCATATTGAAAGAAAATCAAATTGCTCTGAGGTCATTAGTTGGACTGAGGGCATTTGGTTGGGGGCCCCTCCAGTTTGGGGGGCCTAGGCAACTGCCCACTTTTGCCTAATGGTAGTGCCGCCTCTGCAAACAACAAAACCATGTGTTATTCTGTATAAACTGCTAACCCTGTAGCTTAGCTCTGTACAAACATGTCCCAAAGTAGAATTAGTAGTATTCATTTGTCGGTTCATATTTCATATTTATTTTTTTGGACATGTTTAAAATCTGAACTTTGAACTGAATCCTGTTATTAAAACATAAATCTCAAATCTAATCACAATCCCAATGCTCGTCAGAATAATCCCAATAAAATATTTTTCCCAAATTGCACAGCCCTCATGTCACAACAGTCTCCAAAGCTTTAGGACACATTTGGTTAATCGTGTCTGGGCCCTTTTCTGCTAAAACCCTGGTGTTGTAGAATGGCTGTGAGCAGAATCTATAGGAGAGACAAGCTGCAATGCAAATGGGAGTCAGGTTCAGTGTCACAGCTGTGTGCGTGTGTGATGCTACCTGACGTTGTCGTGGCGCTGGATGTAGATTTTGTGAAAGATCCTTTCTGGGGGCTTCAGGAAATCCTCTTTCATCTCCATAGCGACGTTTCTGGGCAACAGGCTCATTAGCAGGCGCTCCTGTGTGTGCGTGAATAAAGCAGCATGACAAATACAAAAAGATAAGTGACTTCTCCTCTTTTGCCTTTGCACTGAAAACTTATCATGAAACAAAGTGATGGGGAAGGTGTTGGCAAAACCAGAGGGTATGAATATTTTTTAGAATAATTCTGAACTGGGATGGTACAATATGGCTGCTCTTAGTCCTGACCTATATCTGTTACTGGTATCGCTGCTGTGGCCAATAACAACTTTTGACTTTTTTTTTTTTTTTTTAAAAATCTCTTAAGGTTCACAAATTGATCTTCTTAAGTTTAATTTTAACTTAATAGATTATTTACAAAGACACAACTGAAGCATACAGGGGCACATAGAGCCTGGGGAGGGTTAGTAAAAAATAAAAAATAAAAATATTGGTGCCAAAAGTGTGCTACATTTTCAATACTGGACTGATATCTGGAGAAACCCTTTAATATCACCAAGACCAATAATAGCACCCATATCGTCCATCCCTAATTTTGAACCTAGTTAACTATGTAATGTACTTTTTCTTTTTCGTTCTATCAATTTCCTCCCACTACAAAATACAAACTTTAGAACACTTTGAATTATTCCTATCTAGAACACTATCACATTCAAATAAATCAGCCAGCCAAATACAGAAAGATTACCCACATTTCCCCTTTGCATTAAAAACTTATCATAACACAACGTGATAGCGATGGTGCGGGGCTCGCTAACCCCAAAGTGTACGAGAAATGTGACAGAAATACATAAAGCTTGGTGACTCATGCTGGGATCGGAGGGGGGTGTCTAGTCTAATTTTACCCCAGCGCCTGAGCCCTACCTGCTTCTCGTTCTCGTCCTCCATACGCAGTCTCTCCTCGATACAGTTGCGGGCCTGCAGGAAGGCCTTTCTCTGGGCGCGCTCAGTCAGGACGCGCACAAACAGCCCGGACAGGTTTACACTGGTGAAGAGCACCGTGTTTGCCACCAGCTGCACAGAGAAAGACAGTGTACACAGTGAGATGCTATTTTTACATGCAATATAGTATGGAGTAGTTTATGTTTTGCCCCAGTACTATACCTGTCAAGATAATTACGATATCAGCTTTCAATATATGAAAGCTGGTACAATATTTTTGGGGGTCAGTATTTATTGTGTGTACATTTCTGTTGCACTATTGGGAAATTTCTGTTTTTTTTGTTTTTTTTTTTGACTATTTGATGAGATTTAAACCATAAAAGGACTGATTACAGATGAAAACTAAGTAGTAAAGTGTTTGATTCTGCTGTATATTTATTGCAGCTCATCATTTTTTCATAATATTGTAGATTTAGAATATTTTTTTCTGGTTTAAATCTTCTCTTCGGTTAATGTGTCAGTATTGTTTATTGTCTATATTCACTTCAGAAATATATCGCACTTCAAAACTGCGACAGGCCTAAAAACTATATACTGTAAAGGCAGCTCTTAGGGTAAACATGAGATCACTGCCCAATGCTGGTGCGCTGTTAGTATTCTAGCCGCTGTTAAAATTACTGTAGATGCAAAACAGCTTTCTGGCCCCTGGAAGTTGAGAAATGTGTTTTTAAACTAGTAAAACCTAGTGGGACTGCTGCAAAACTGTTAAAATGAACTGTTCCATTTTTAATGTTACTAAGCTACTGTAATTAAAGACTTCACTTGAGTTGTGGGACAGCGTTCATGTTGTCCACTGTGATTTAAAGGGGCACTGTGTAAATTTTCTCCATTATGGCGTTGTTGTTTTGCTTGGAATATTCCACAGTATGGCAATAAACTTATCTAACTACCTCCATGGAGACAGGCCGACATCAGCGTTATCTATAACAACACCTGTAATTCACTCAATAGATAAAAGCTATACTGTGGAGCATTCCAAACACACCAAATCAAACATATCATAATTCAAAATATATGGTATTTCATTATGAATGTATGAAGCAGATAAAGGAGGAGATCAGTGGACTGATATTTTCTGAACAGTTGTTTGTTGCGCTGTCAGTTAGTGCGGTGAGTGAGGGAGCACAGAGCTGTCAGCCCCAGTCACTCAGGCAAAAAGAAAAGACAAATAATCCCTCGTTGTACCATTGCTACTGTGGTCACTAATCAATGTGTGAATACTTCTCTTTTTTTTATGTATAAAATAAAATGTTTGTGTATTGTTTGTTTTGGTTAATCATGCCTCGTAGAGCCCAAGAAAGCCCATTTAGTTTGAGCCTTTCTATTATTATTGTATTTAACTGCTCAATGTGCTTAAACGGCCCCTCTGGGATAAATAAAGTGATATTGATTTATTGATTAAAAACCCCATATAGAGCTAAAACAAACAAACAAAAACAAATGGGGCACAGATATTGGTCATGTACAGTCCTCACTGTAGAGCTGTACAACGTGAAACCTGTGTGGGTTTTACCTATAGACGGTATAAAGCTGTATAAAGTGGACTAAGGTCAAATTAAGCTGATGAGGCTAGCAGTTATAGGGGAGAATTTGGAGCAGAGTTCCATATTAGGAATAGGAATTGAGAGACAAAACATCAAAATAGAAATACCAGGATCATGTAAAGCAGTTTAATACAAACATTTTAGGACCAAAATGACGAGGCTCATTGCAGCAGGTATTGAGAGAGGGATGACAGTTTTTGTGTAAATTGGAGCCTATGACCAAGACAATTAAATTATAAACAATCAAATAAATAACTAACAATTGTTTATATTTTGCCTTTGAATAACGAATGCCGTTATCATATCTTTATTTTATGCACAGTAATATCCTGCTCTGAAAATGGCCGTGTCTCCATGCACTAACGAAGCAATACATTCCATCTGTCATTCAGTACATAATTAATGAACATCGTCTAATTTTAACTGTACTTGTACCCTTCTGATTTCGCACCAATTTCTTAACACAGTTTTTATGAAGGCCTAAAAAGTGAGAGAACATATTTCTATTTTTGGATCAGTAACATTTAAACAGTTGCATTTTTGTGCTCTAGGTTCATCCATCACGAGGAGCTATGACTTCTTTGAACCTTGCAGCCGCTGAAAAGAGAAGGACTGTTTGGCCTCACTGAGCTTGGAGACACACATGGACTGCACGATGTGTCCTACTCAAAGTTTGGTGACATGTGGCAAGGCATTTTGGACCATATGCTCAGTAAAAAGTCATTTCTGTTTTAGATTTAAAGAAAACAGCCTATTATGCAATCTTGTGACTCTAATTTCCTTTAACCAAGCTTTTGTCACCTTTGGATAAGTATTTCACATTTTCGAACTTTGGAAATTACACTTTATAAACTACACCTCCATTTCCAGTGAGGCACTTAGGCAATGGAGTTCCTTCTGCTGTCAGCAATGGAAATTAACAATATAAAAATAAACAAAGTCCTTCTCTTCCTTGAATGCTCAGCTAAGAGAGCCATGCGTTTGTTGACCGTAGAAGGAGTCCAGTGAGTTTATGGGCTTAAAAACTGTGCAGGAGAAGTTCAGAGTTTTATCTGTGACGCAATTAAACTGGCAAAATGTAAACTGTGCATTTTTAAGTGCTCAGAGAAAGTCACTCTGGACTAATGGAACAATGAAACAAGCGCGAATGAAGTAAAAATACAACTCCAGGTATGTTTTTGATGACAGTACAACATGGTTAAAAACTCAAAAGTAAATTCTGCATAATACTGTTTTTTTAAAGGTTTTGAGGCTCAATAGAAAAATTCAATTCAAATGATTAAATAAAGATTCTTCCAGTGTGGATATGCAGGGGAATGAAGATTGCTCAAACATGCATGAATCACTCTAAATACAACTTCGAGTGGGGAAATGAGAAGGGGAAAGAGTTATAACACGGTCAAAAGCTCTAAAAAGATGATTTTGCATAATAAGTCTCCTTTAAAGTGAGGTGGTTTTATTAATGTGATTTGCTTTTCATTTCGGATATGTCATAAGACAGAAGAGCAATACTGGCTCCTGTTTCTATCAGAGAATATCACACTGTGGAATCTCAAATCCACCAATATAGTCATAAAAATGCCAAAGCCCTGCCGCTGACTGATGTAGCCCCTAGTCCACAGTGTGTAATACATGTGTTCTTCAATTGGATCCTGTGATCAATAGTTCACTCCCTTCCCACTGGTTTTAAAGACGTCTTGTCAAGGCTTCAGAGAGAATGATAAATAATATGGAGGCGAGCTGCACTGTAGGTTAGTGCTGGTGAGGTGACTGTTAACAAGACTACCCACATCATATACAACAGCTCATCTTTCAGCTAAGGGAGCTCTATAAACGCATTACTTAGATTGGCAGGTCTGTAGTCATATTATGGACAGTATTGTGTTGCAAATGATTCTTCTACTGTCTTTAGGAACAGGAGGATGACTTTAAAAACAATATGGCATGAGATATATTACAATCTCTTGTAAAAACAAATCTAGATTTTCTTTTTCTTTATGAAATTATTTGTTAAAGGTGCACTGTATAATGGGGAATCAGCTGGAAAGTCTCCATGGCTGGAAGGTCCCCAAGATGGAAAGTCCCCCTGAATTTATGAAAGTTAGTTCATCTGTATACATATAAATAAAATAATTTTTAAAAATCATGATATATATTTTGTATTCATTTCACACATAAGTTACAATATTTCTCAACACATTTGTTCATACATACAAATGTGTCATGCAAAAATGATGTGGTCTCGAACACACATAAATACTCCACAAGTGAGGTAAACTGTCTCAGAAACTCCTGTGTTTTCAATAAGTGTGCCACAACTATTTTAGGATTTTATCTTTATTTCAATGAAATACATAATTAAAACCCTCCGAAAAGTGATTCTGAATGATTTTTGAGCAAATTCTGTAGCTTTCTAAGTTTCTTGTGATGCGCTGCTTACAAATTATATTCATGGCAAGCAGGTAAAGAAATAATTAATATTTCTTCCCAAATCAACAGCTATGCTGTAGGACATTAGCCAGGCTGGCACCACCTAGTGCCTCTGCTCAATTTAATTTCTCTTCAGCGACTAGGTCAGGAATCAGAGTATACTAGACGGTTTACAAGAACCCCGGAAGTGCGAGTTCGGGCACGAGCCAATCAACAATGAGCAACGATTCTCAAGCTCTGGTATTTAAAGCCAGAATAAAGAGAATGTTTGGTGAATTTTATCAAGGGGAAAGCCGTTATTGCCCTTCTTCCTACAGGATTTGGGAAAAGCTTTGGGAAGACCAAACAGCAGCGATTGGTTAAATGAAAAAAAAAGACCTGCCTATCGTCGAGCAAACAAATTCTAATGCTGCAATTCAGACAGTTTGTACGAAGTAATACCGGCTGATGAATCTAATAGATAATAGGACATGGGGAACAAGAAAAAAATATTTAAAATACAATTTCATAGTAAACTTATGCAAGCAAATGAGGATTATATTGATATTACGTACTCAAAAAGTGTGTGCCGCTTTAGAAAGATTAGTAAAATGACAAACAAGGATCAACATTTGGTCTGGCTACATTCACATTTCATTTTATCATGATATAGAATGCTGATTTTCTAACTCCATACATCACAGTGCTGGGATTTTCAAGCCAGGGGGACGCTCAAGCTATTATTTGTGTAACTTTTCTGCTGGGAGCCCGCTATCTTTTCGGAGCTCTTTTGGCTGACAAATCCAGAATGACATCTCTCTGTATTTTTTATAGAGATTGATATCAGTCTGGTCCCCATGCGCTCCTCTGTATGTGTTTCGCTCTCTGATTCAGAGAGATTTTCTTTCGGCCCCTTGTGATATTTTCTTCCTTTGTTTTTTCGGTATGTTCAGACCATGCGTGTCCCTGATTGGTTAGTCCACCTGTCAATCAAAACCATCTTAAAATAGGGAGATTCACCAAATCATCATCATCATCATCATCACATCTCACATCTTCGATAAGTATTGAAGAAGTGTGTATCCTGGATTCCACGCAAGGAGATCTTGTTTCCTTTTT